TAGTTTTTAAAAATCAATTATATATTATAATATAATGAATTTCTAAAATTTGAATTAAACTTTAATTTAAAAATTCACCTTATTAAGTATTGATATCTAGTTTTAAAAATCAATTATATATTATAATATAATTAATTTCTAAATTTTGAATTAAACTTTAATTAAAAAAATAATATCATTTAATATATGATTCTAATTTATTGATTCTAATTTATAATGAGAGTTAAAACTAATATATATTTTCTCCCTTGTATGTATATATATAAAAGGTTAAATCTCTAATTTAATCTCTAAACTATTGTACAGACCCCTAATTTGGTCTCTGAACTAAAAAATTCATGATTTGGTCCCTGAACTATTGTACAAACCCCCGATTTTGGTCCCTGAACTATTGTACAAACCCCCGATTTGGTCTTTACTGTTTACCAATTTACCCCAAATTAGTCCTTCTGTACAAAAAAAGCTAATGTGTCTAGTATTTAACGGTGAAAAACAGTAACTTAACGGTAGAAAATAGTAACTTAACAATCACGTGTCACGTTAATAATGAGACACGTCAGCTATTTTTGTATAGAAGGACTAACTCGGGACAAATTGGTAAACAGTAATGACCAAATTGGGGATCCGTACAATAGTTCAGGGACCAAATTATGGATGTTTTTAGTTCAGGGACCAAATCGGAGGTCCGTACAATAGTTTAGGTACCAAATTGAAGATTTAACCTATACAAAATAAAAAGTCATATCATGATAGAGATATTGTAAGATGTAAGTCATATCATTAAGAGATAACTAATATAATTATGAGAGTAAATTTTAAATTTTAAATTATATGTATTTTTTATTTTTCCGTGGTTTAATTTCTTTTATGTGGTATCAAAACTGTTGAAAGCATGAGATGCTGATTTCTTTTATTGATTCTGCAATCCTTATTTTATTTTTTTTTTCTCTTTCCATTAGTCAAATATGATATATAAAAATACATACTTCATGTTATTCTATTGCTTCAAAGTACAACATTACGTCGATACTTATTAGTCAAAAACATTTAATTTCTTTGGTTTCTGTTTAATTTGTAATTTGTTCATTTCTTTTTCAGTTGTGCTGCAACTCCATCTTATGTATTGATATCGAATTTACAAGACGTACCTTTGCTTAATTAGATTTGAAAAGGAGAAATCAGTGAAAAAGCACAAAATATCGAATTATTTCTCTTGTAAGTTCCTCAAATCAAATTCTTACATAATCTTCTTGTACATTTCATTTTCACCATGTACATATCTGCTCATGTAACATTATTCTGCATGTTTTTCTGTGTCTCAGAATTCAATTGTGTTTGCAATCTTTCCCTCTGTGTCCAATCATAATGGCTGAAATCGCCCTCACCATTCTCGGCCCTGTCGTTGAGGAGGCAGTTTCCAAAACAGTTTCATTTCTTAAAAAAAGAATTGGAATTGCAGTGGGTTTGGAAAAGGAGCTTGATAGGCTTGGCGATTCTCTTATTCTCATTCAATCTGTCATCCGACATGCAGAGGAAAGGCAAGAAAGTGACCCGGCTATAAGGCATTGGCTACAGAAGCTGAAAGAGGTAACTTATGAGGCAGTGGATGCATTGGGTGAGTGTGAGTACAAGGTTCTTAAGAACAAAGTTAAGAGTCTTGGTCACTGGAATCCTGAGTCCGTCTACTTTTCTCCCTTGTTTCGTAATCGTATGGCTGAGCAAATCAACAACATTACTAAGCAGTTGAATGATTTGAAAGACTGGGCTAGCATGATTAACTTGGTGGTCTCATTGAGAGGCCAAACTTGTCCGAGGCAACATCAAAAGACAGATTCTTTTCTTGATGATTCCACAGTATTCGAAAGGGAAGCTGATGTCTCAAGAATTCTTAGCTTGTTGCGTGACTTGAGGAGGAGTCAACATCCCATCTCTGGCATTTCTATTGTAGGTATGGCTGGGATTGGAAAGACGACAATAGCAAAATCAGTATACATGAAAGCAAAGGAAGAAAAGCTCTATGATTTAGCGGCCTGGGTGTGTGTATCCGAGGACTTTAAGGATCACATCATTTTGCAAGAGATGTCAGAGCACTTTGGTTGTAGTGCTGCTCCAAGGATTAGTATTAATGCATTGCTTGAAGATCTTGCAAAAAAATTAGAGAATAAAACTTTTCTTCTCATTCTTGATGATGTATGGAATGAAGATCCTGACAAGGGGGAACATTTCAGCTCTTGTTTGTTAAAAATTCTGAAGACTACTGGGAGCTCTATTGTCATAACAACTCGTAGTGGAAAGGTAGCATCCGCAATGGAGTCAGTTCCTATGCAACGCCATGACATGGAGGGGTTACCAGATGACGTATGCTGGTTGATAATAAAAGAGAAATTTCTTAGATCATCCACAGAAACTTCAATGACTCCTGATTTGGAAGCTATTGGACAGGATATTGCAAAAAAATGTGGAGGTTTGCCATTAGTTGCTAGTGTCATTGGAGGAACATTGAGCCGTCAAACTAGTGCAGATGAATGGAAGGATATCAGAGATGATAAAGCATGGAATTTAAAATCACGAGATGGAGATAAGATTTTATCTATTTTGAAAATAAGTTTCGATCATTTGACTTCTCCTTTGAAAAAATGTTTTTCTTACTGTTCAATTTTTCCAAAGGATTTTGTCATTGAAAAAGATGATCTAGTTCAACTCTGGATGGCTCAGGGGTTTCTTTACCAACCTAATGAAAGCTCTGCGACAATGGAGGATGTTGGTAATGATTACTTTAGTGATTTGTTATCTAACTCCTTATTTCAAGATGTGCACAGGGACAAATATGGGAATATCAGATCTTGCAAGATGCATGATGCGGTGCATGATTTAGCGTTGTCTATTTCAAAAGGTGATACTTTTGTCTGGGAGACTGGTTGCAAAATTGACCAGGATGCTAAAATTCGACATTTAAGAGTTAAGCATTACCGGTACGAGCATCCAATCATTCCTAGAGCTGTGGCTCAAAGATTGCATTCTTTGTTCTTGGAAGAGGTTGCTGTTTTTATTTCCAGGGCATCTGATCTCAAAAGCTTACGAGCTTTAAAGATAGTGGGAGCTCAGGAAGAACAGTTGCCCATTATTCTTGGCAAATTTAAGCATATGAAATACCTAGACCTCTCAGGAAGCAAAATAAAAACACTACCAAAATCCTTTTTCAAACTCTACAAATTGCAGACTTTTAGACTTATGAGATGCTCTTCTCTGCAAATGTCTGATGAGATGAGAAATTTGATCAGCTTAAGACATTTTTATTTTGACAACAAAGAGTGGATGCCAAGAGAGATTGGGCATTTAACTTCCCTTCAAACCTTACCATTTTTCGTAGTGAGTAAGGCAAACTTGGAACAACTTGGATGCCTGAGTCAACTTGGAGGAGCTTTGAAAATATGCAACCTTGAATTTGCCAGAACTATGTCAGAAGCTGTCAAAGCAAACTTAGACAAGAAGACAAAATTGTATGAGTTAGAAGTTGGATGGAAAAGAAACAATGAAGATTACAACAATTATGAGATTTTGGAAGGTCTAAGGCCTCCCTCAAATTTGGGACACTTGGCAATTGTAGGTTATAGGGGAGAAAAGTTTCCAACGTGGCTGGAGATGGGTGTTCAATGTTTTGGCGGTTCCTCTCCACTGAACAATTTATTGGCTTTAAAATTACATGGCTGTAATGAATGTGTAGAGATTCTGAGTTTGGGATTCATACCTAGACTCGAGGATCTTGAAATGGTAGGATTGCCAAAGGTGAAACGTATGGGCAGCAAGTTCTGTCTGGAGAGAAGCAACATGACAAGTAGTAGTTGTGGTGACAAAAAATCAATCGTATTGTTCCCAGCCTTGAAAAAACTCGACATAAGATCCATGGAAATCCTAGAGGAATGGGCAGAGATAGAAGGCACCACCATCTTTCCTTGCCTTCGGGATTTGAATGTTATAAATTTTCCGAAGTTAAAGACCTGGCCAATGAGTGGATTTTCATCTCATCAGAAGCTCTCAATGGCGAATATACATTATTGTCCGAATCTGGTGACTCTTCCAAGTATGGAACGGCTCTTGTCTCTTAGAAGTTTAAGCTTAACTACATTAGGATCTCTCCCAAGTGGGCTGGGCTCCTGCAGTTGTCTCGAGTATCTGCGCCTCGAACGGTGCCGTATGTCCTTTCTGAGCACGAAGGAGATGATCTGTCTTGAAATGTTAGAAATTCGTCGGTGTAAAGAGCTGGTTTGTGTGTCAGGGCTGGAATCTTGCATCTCTCTCCAAAAGTTGAGTATTTTCTATTGTGACAATCTAATTTCTATTTCAGAAGATGTTGGAAGATCAAGTTCGCTTTCTTTTTTGGAGATTGTTGGTTGCCAAAATCTGAGGAGCATTCCAGAGGAGTGGCTGGGTAGGAATACCCGGTTGAAGGAGTTAATTATTGGTCCTTTCTGGTCAGAGTTGGAGGAATATCCAGGACTGACCTCCATCCATCAACTTCAAGCCTCCCTTAAATCCTTGAGACTTTTGGGATGGGAGAAACTAAAATCTCTGCCACATCAGCTTCAACATCTCACTGCCCTCAACCAATTGATGTTAGTTAACTTCAATGCCCTGGCAGCTTTGCCAGAGTGGTTGGGAGATCTCTCTTCTCTTCACAACCTGCTGATTGGGGGTTGCTCTAATTTGACTCATCTGCCTTCTATTGAAGCCATGCGACGCCTCTCCAACTTACAATCTCTTGAAATCTGGAGTTCTCCCAAATTAGAAGAAAGATGCGCAAAAGAGAGCGGCCTCGACTGGGCCAAGATTTCTCACATCCCCAACATCAGAATATATGCTGTGAACCTGTACCCACTTTCTATAGATGGGTAGCTAATCAAGAGTTATCTTGCAATCAACATGATGTGAACCTGTAGCGGGTATGTTCAATTTCTCGAGCCTGAATCCTTCCAATTGTACCATAATAACTGATTGTCGCTAATTGGATGCAGCCAAACCGGAGCGTTCAATACATACCAAAGTTTCGCTAATTCTGAGGTTGAGGCAGTTCGAGATACAAATGACTGAACTGAAGACAATGAGCGTTGCTCCTGCCTTTATATGGAATATGCTTGTGTTAGTTTTCCCGTTATTTCAACTTTTTAAGGGAAAAAAAAATTAAGTCAGTAGAGATAGGCTCATGTTGTCTCAAAATTATGAGGATGTGCATCTGCCTCAATTTTTCTAAAAAATCTGGTTTGAATGCTGGTAGAAAAAAAATTGCACGCTTTCAACTTGATCTCTGTGATTGATCTTGATTGGTAAGTGAATTAGATGCTGTGAACTTAGCAACTACATGCGGGTAGAAAAAATTGCATGCTTTGAACTTGTTCTCTGTGATTGGTAAGTGAATTGTATGCTCTGTGGACTTTCTCTCTGTGATACATCTTGTTTGGTAAAGCAAAAGGTCCTGAGGTCAAAATAAGATTTGGTGATTTTACTTCTCATACAGTATGATTAAGTGATATTTCGTTTCTTATGTTAAGTTTCAGATATATGCCTGTCTTCCATGAATCTGATTGTAAATATGTTTTCTGATTGTCATCTTGCTGGATTGTCATTAAGATATCTTCCTGTTGTACTGCAGGGCATAACATCTCTCTCATCCATGTGCTTACCGTATCATCAGCTGGTGGATGCCCTTGGTGAAACAGAGACGGATCGAAGAGACAAAACAAAGAATTTGCATAAACATATATTTGCAGGATAGGAGCTTCAAGATTTGATTTTTCAGGTCTATATGTGCGATGACCCTGCTTTTGAATTTTAGTTTCATATGATCAAAATACTAATTTATGCTGTAACTTTTTTTAAATAACGTAGGCTTCTATGTTTCCTCATACTCATTCTTCTGTTTCTGTATTACACATTGAAATTGGAGCTTAATAAATTGAGTCGTTTCTATATGGATTTTCTAAATTTCATTAATATTTTGCAGGAAACGCATACTGGGCATGGCTGCCAAAATTCACCTTCTCAACTTTCAGTACCAGTCCTAAATTATGCCACAGCAGAGTTCCAAATAGGTTTTCCTTCGAGTCCAATCATAATTAAGGTCAGCCTTTTAGCTTCCATTTGCAATATACATAATGCAATTTGACCTGAATTGTACGTTCCAAAGAAACTTGAACGCAATGCTTCCTTTATATGGTTGCTTTTTTATGAACTGATAGTGAAGTCTCTATAAAACATTTGCAGGGGACTTGAATTGTACTCTTGCAGCTGCGATGACAATTGCTGGGAAGGTTCTATTTTATTAAAAGCATCAACTGCAACATTGTTTGTCATCTTAACTGCAGGTAGCTGCGTTTTCTTAATCTTAGCCTTAAAAGGAAGAAATAAGTCCAATAAAGTGTGATTTATCCTGTAAAGTTCACTAATATACTTTCCTGTTACTTCTGTTCCCACTGAACTTTCTATTATAAATCATACGAAAGGAAGTTGAATGCAGAAGAGAAGAAGAGTGAAGCATCATTTATGCCGAACAATCAGAGCTCTTGAAAATTACCAACAACATCTTTTAGGAGTTCCTTGTAAAGGTCTGCACCTCTGACCCCTAAAATTCTTTTGAACTCGTTCCCTTGTGTTAAACATTAAGCTGTGACTCCATTAAATTGTACAAGCACTTATCTACCAGTACATAGCTAATCAAGACTTAAAATAGCAGTTGTCAGGTTCTTTGAAAAACTTGAATCCAATCATATTTATTTTGAGCTTTCATAAACTCAAAGAGAAGTTATATCATTAACTGTTGTGTGAATGCAGATAAGAATGTCTCTAGCTGGGAGAGTCTTCTAATGGCAAAGAGCACTCTGCTTCGGATTCATACTTTGTAGAACCTGAGGCCGATTTTCATGGTGAGACTCAACTAGATGTGGTTCATTTCTCTAAAGTTTAAGTGATTCTCTCTTTGCAATTTGCATCAATATAATTAGTATGTAGCAATGCTTTAATTCTGGGTGTAGTAGCTTCATCCAGGAAGATTCCTAGATACTTATGATTTACTAATAGAGCGGCTTCCTTCTTGCAGGCCTTATATGCTGATAATTTAAATGCTTTTATTCTGCACCTGCTGCAAACAGAAATAGAAAAACTTCATGAAATCTGAAGTGGAGGGCTATTAGAGTATCTGCACCATGTAATCATAAGGAACAGGTAAGAGCTTTCAGCATTAATTTGCATTAGGTTACTATTTTAAAGCCTCCTTTAGCTTTTGTTTAGAAACTAAATTAATTTACATTTGGTACTAAAACAGGTACTTTTGTGCTTTCCAGTTTTCATAGTTGTCGTGCATCAAAGCCATCAGCGAGTGTTAACTAAAGCAATTCATGTAACTGGTAAGTAGCAATTCATCAATTCCAGCAGTTGCTTCATCCAGGAAGATTATATGTTCCTTGACAGGTTCTGGTTTGCTGACAAAGCAGCTTTGCAATTTCTTGCAGGCCTTATTTTATGGAAGATTTGGTTTTGTTCTGCACTTATTCCAAACAGAATTAAACACCAGAACAACATCAAATCCTTTGATTATCTTGGAAATGGGCTCTGAGATGTTGGCACAATTTGATTCCGAAGGAAGTCTAAATCTCCATAGCCAACTTCTGGTTTCCAGAGTGGATCAACTTTGGCAAATAGTTCAAGGATTTTGTCTACTTTCACTATATATATATATATATATATATATTTTTTTTTTTTCTCTCTCTCTCTTTTTCTCTCTTCTTGATTATGATTCTTACAGTTTGTGTAATGTTACTCTTTATGAGCCAAAGTAAAACGCCTTGAATTACCTAATTTCAAATTTTAAGAGAGCAACATTTGATTCAAAGATTCTGCACCTAGCTAGATTTTCTCTCCTGGAAATCTTCTTGTTTCTCTTTTCTTTCAATCGATAATAAAGAACGTGGAAGTCCATGTTAAAAAGCTAATATGTTCTGTGGTTTTCAAAATCAAGATGAATATCCAAAATGATCATAATCAATTACGAGAAAAACAATGCAATGTTATGACATTAGCAAAGATCTAGCTAGAAATGTTGGCATTACTTCTGCTTGTAGGTGCAGAATTTTGAGGTATACGAGATTGGCTTATTATTACCAGGAACTGGGGCATTCAGAAACTTCTTGTTGAGATTGATTTTCTGTTTGTCTTTCATTTACTCTCTCTACAACATTTCAGATCCTTTTCACACCATGATTTTGGATTGTATGGAGTTGTTGTCTTAAATCCCCACGTGCAACTTCGTCGCATATTTAAGGAAGTCAATCAATGTGCTGATTATCTAGCTGCTTTAGGCCACTCTATTAATGATTTTATATATTTTGACAACAGCTCTCAAGGACTGGATTTGTTCCTTGATGTTGATGTAAGGGGGATTCTGTCTCCCCGGAACTAGTTTGGAATTTTCCTTCCTGCTGGACTAATGATATCCTCTTATTCACCAAAAAAAAAAAAAGATTAGCTAGTACTGTAACAGATTCAAATTAAGTAGGGTTTGAACAGGAAGATTGAAGAAAATGAAAATTCAACCTGTATTCAGTTATTTATAACATGAATAATTTATTTGGTGAAAAATAAGTCATTTATTTTAAAATTAGAGAATATATAAAAAATTATATTTTTATTGTCTCTTTCAAAAAATCAAATTTTAATCAATAAAATAAAAAATAATCTTCTTACTAATTAAATTATAACTCAAATTACTTTAGAGAAAGATGAATCACCCGATCCACTTACTGTATATCCTGAAACTTCATTTGATAATATTTTATTATTAATCATAACTTTAATGAATCAATACACACAAAAAATTGATGAAAAATATTTAAATAATTTCATAAAAAATTTTAATATTTAAAGTAATAGGACATTAACTTGTATTTTTCTCTTTTGGATATTAATAATACAAAAATATTTTTTTTAATATGAACTACATAAAAAAAAAGTGCAATTTAAGAATTAAAATTACAAAAAACATCTTTAAAAAACTTCACTATATATTTATTTATTTATAATATTTTAATAATTTTAATATTCTTATACTTTTTTTATGCAATCCATGCTGAAAAATATTAATCTTTTATAATATCTTTTGATTTGGAAAAACGGAAAAAATCTTATTAGTTGGGAGGCAAAAAATGGTAGTGAAACAAAATTGTTCGAAGTTCAAACGAGCAAGAAAACAAGAAGCTAGCCGTCAATGGAAAAATGGCAATACGCTGTCGTTTGGAATCAATCATTATTCTATTCCCACCATTCTCCGGGCCTCCACCGGCCCAGTACCCGCCGCTTCTCTTCTTTTCTTTCCTGCCTCACCGTCCGTCAAATCAGCTTTTGCAACTGCAGCCTTGCCGTTCCGTCGCTTCTTGTATTGACGCAACAATACAGCCGGACATTTCCTCTCTTCCACCTTACCTTCCTTGCCGACGGTGAGAGTAACCGATCGAGTGGGATCGAAATCGTTTGAAAATTTGGTACTTTTTGTTAGCTTGAATTGTGCTATTGATTGTCATTCTTTTCT